TATCACTTACAGTTTCTAAGGTAAAGGGGGAAGGAAGAAGAGAAGGAGGCCAGGCAGAAATCTCACAAGGAAAAAATGTCTATGCCATTGAATTATCGGTATTTCTTAATTTCAAAAAAGGCAAGCAAGTTGCGATGGGAAACATTCACATCTGTCTGTCTAAAGCTGATGCTAACCGTCAAGTTCACAGGACCTAGAACAATCTAGGCACATGCATGAGGGATTTTCTAGACTGAGTCAGCCTCTGTCCTTGCCAGTGATGGATTACCTTCATTGGGGTTCAAGAACCACTCCAAAAGTGGGTACCATTCCTTGGGCGTGTTGTCTGGCCTGAGAACTGTATCGCTGCTCTCAGCTTCCTGGTGGCAGACCCCAGGTGACCAGTGTCAAGTTCTTGCCTCACGGGGTACTTGACTCACGGGGACCATGAGTCACAGTAAACCCTGTCTGAAATTGTTTTCGTCAGAGTATTGAATCACAACAGTGAAACCAAATACAGAAAACTGGTACCAGAAGTGCTCTGGACTACATAGCCCAGGCTGGCCTTGAACTTGGAAGTAATCCTTCTGCCTCAGGCTCCCAAACCCTGGGATTATAGGCAGGTGTAAATTACTGTATTCAGATGACATTTTCCTTTTTCTTTTTAGTGGTGCTGCAAATCGAACCCAGAGCCCCAAGTATGCTATTGTTCTACCACTGAGCTACACCCACAATCTCAGAAATATCATCTATCACTTTACAGTAAGTAACCCTTCAGCAGGAATGCCCCTTGGTGGTAATTTACTCTCTTTGGTTTAGCTGAGCAAATGTTAAACGCCACCACTGGCCAATTCTCCCAAGGATTAATGTGGGTCTAAACTTGTTTTTATTATTAAGCAGACCATAGTAGAAACCAGAGTCCTCTAAAGCCTACAATGAAGTGTTTGCATATTCAAAACCGTGTTTCTGTTTATACAATTGTCATCTTTCAGGTAGGTTCTGATTTCCAGAAAGAGCCACATTAACCTAACCACAGGGGTCTGGAGAGATGGGGGGGGGAGAGTACTTGCTGGGCAAGCAAGAGGATCTGAGTTTGAATCCCCAGGGGCCATGTGAAAGTCAGGTGGGGCTGTGGGGTGCTATCACCCCAACGCTGGGGGAGGAAGAGGGAGATGGCAGACCCAGGAAGATGGCTGGTGAAACAGTGAGCTTGTAGTATCCTGAGGGATCCAGTCTCTGCAAACAAGGTCCAGAAGGCGGGTGATGGCCTCCTCTAGCCTCTGAGTGTATGCATGCATGTACACAACACATACACTTTCTCCGTAGAGCATCTACAGGCAGTGAGATGGCTCAGGGATAAAGGCCCTTGCTCTCAGGCCTGGTAACCGGTGTTTAATTCCTAGAACTCCCAAGGAAGGTTGAGAACCAACTCGCACAAACTGTCCTCTGACTTCTCTACACACACACACACACACACACACACACACACACACACGCAAGTAAATAAATGTACATAAAAAAATTTAAGCACCTAACCACAGGCTTAGCACTGATATCAAAAGAAAAGCATGCAAAAATGCCGTTGAAGAATTTAACATGAGGATTCCGTCCACATCAGCCCTACTGGGCTGTGCGTTATTACAGCCAGGCAGATAAAATGAAGGTAAAAGCAATAGCACTTCTGCCTATAGAACAGGCCTCTGGAAGAGACTCTCATGGCGGCCTCTCCAATCCTCCCCAAGGATGGTGAGCCTTTCCCAGAAGCTGAGTTCAGGATCTTATGAAGGACAGAGTCTGTTTCGTTCCATTCTTTCAGCACTCAGCATTTGGGTTGTGCCCAGACTTCCCAGGCCAGCCATGGTCAACAGTCTGGGTCTCCTCAGGGAAGTCAGGAACACAGTCATGGGTGGAGACAGAATGGGTTTCTATAAAAGCTGGTGTTTAGCCATGTGGCTGGAATGTCCTGAGAGATCACATCTGGAGGGAAGAGAAAGGACAGCAAACAGCAAGCCTCCAGGAAACAGACTCTTAGGGACACCATGCTCTTGGGATCTGAAGGGACGAGTGCCTGACTCCACCCCATACATCCAGCCTATATAACAGTTAGGCCACATAATAAGCCCACTCATATTGTACAATGAGTAAAGGTGCTCGCGGTCAAACCTGACAACTTGAATTTCATTTCACACAATAGAAGGTGAGAGCTAACTTCTACAGGCAGTTCTCTGACTTCCACATATGCATTGTGGCACATACACACACACACTTCCACATATGCACTGTGAAGTGCACACACACTAACACAGGCACACGATAGAAAGATAGATAAATGACATACAGACAGATAGAACCCCACAAATTCACTCCAATTTCTGCACACGCACAAATAAGTGAGTGTGCAGAACATCCACGCATACCCATCATAAAGAAAGTAAAACATAATAAATTCTTTTGAAAAAAAAAAAAAGCTCACTTAGAAAAAGAAGTTTCCTTTTTCTGTCATATTTTAGAGATCTCAAACACTCCACAAAATGTTCCCAAACAACACTGATTTTAGCCCCCTCTTATGTAGTCCTGGATTTTTTCCCTGGGCCTTCATTCAGCCTGTCCATAGCTGTGATACCACAACACAGTTTTGTCATCCACAAAGTTTATACTCATGAAACGTGCCATCAAATAATAATAATAATAATAAAAAGATTATAAAAATTCTCCTGGCCTTTTCAGTAAACTTGTGCTCTTGTTCTGAGCACATCCACGGCTCTCCCAGGCCACCTGCAGTCAGGGACCAGCAGGTGAGGCTCATGGGAAACTTCCTCCAGGCAGGGACAGTGCCGTGTTTGTCAGTTCAGGACTCTAATGACCTTGGTTCAAGTCTCAGGAATATCGCCTAGCCTACAACCTTGTCACAACTCCTGCTAATGACCACACAACTAGGTAGGTGGACAGCGGCGCGTGCTTAGAATACACAAGGCCATGGCTTCTAACACTAACGTGATGGGGGAGGTGGTCAGTTCAAGTGCTGGCATTGGCTGTTCTCAGTTCTGTTAACTAACTTTTCATTGCTTGCTGGGCTGTGCATCAAACCTGGGCCTTGCACACTTCAGACCTAGCCCTGATACTGATGTATCTGAATCTAACTTCTCTTCTGTCCCTGGATGTTATGCCCCCGCCCTTGATCTCAGAGAGCGGCTCCAACCTGAACTCTGAGCAGCTCTCATCTCTTGCAGCCTCTTCTTAGCCTTATTTTTTTTTTATTGCATTTAATCTTCCACTGACCACCTTCCTGTGTCCCCTGGTGAGAAACATCAGAAGTAGAAAACCCGTTCTCAGTGATACACCTTCCCTGAAGCACCTGAGCCACAATGACTTCAAGAGGAGCTTTTAAAGTCACTGGAGAGCTGGGTGATGGTAGCACACGCCTTTAATCCCAGCGCTTGGGAGGCAGAGGCAGGCGGATCTTTGTGGGTTTGAGGCCAGCTTGGTCTACAGAGCTAGTTCTAGGACAGGCTCCAAAGCTACAGAAAACCCTGTCTCGAATAAAGAAAAAAGAAAAAAGAAAAAGGCACCGGAGAGCTGTGGAAGTGGTGCCGTCTGTATTTGGATTCCCAGAACCCACCACGACAGCCCGGCCACTGGCATGAGCATGTAATCTCAGTGCTAAAGAGAGCAGATCAATCCCTGGGGACTGCAGAGTCAGTCTATCTGAAAAGCTTCAGGCCAGCGAGAGCTCCTGTCTGAAAAAACAAAGTGGCCGGCTCCTGAGCTTATCCTCTGGCCGCCACATACACAAACATGCACCTGTACACACACAACCTTCCACACAGACACACCAGCCGCTATTTGGCTTAATTGAAAACGAACGCGGGAAGGACAAAGGCTTGGTCTTGGGGATTTGATTTGGGTCCACTCCAGCTGTCTGGTGGGTATTATTTGAAACTCGCGCACTAGGTCAGGGAGATACTCCGTCTGTGAGACTGTGTGTGCATTTCTGACTTTATATGGTGTCTGTGGTAATATATAAAGATCAGTGTTCCCACCAACTTCAAAGCAGCTCCCGGCTTGACGCAGCGCCGTGGGGGCACAGGAGAGGAGAAACGGGTTCCATGTGTGCAAAGAATCTTATCCGGTGAGGAAAGGCCCGACCTTTTCTTCTGTCTCTTATTTATATTGCACACAGGAGCCAAATTACTAGATGTCAAACCCTCATTGAATATATCTTCTAAAAATTATACTTGTTTATTTATATACCTTGCGCATACACATGTGTGTGTGTAGGTCAGAGAACCACTTTCAGGAGTCAGTTCACTCCTTCTACCATGTGGGTCCTGGGCATTGAACTCAGATTAGCAGTCTTGGTGGCAATGACCTTTAGCTGTTGAGTAGCTCAATGGCTCCACCATATCTTGAATTGAATTGAACATGACCCCAACGCTCCTGCCCCATGAACCAACATGGAAGCAACACTTTGGCTAAAGATGCACCAGCGCGTTGATCTCTCCCCAACTCAAGAGCCAGAAACTGTGAAGCACGTCTCACTTCAGGCAAAGAGGTGTATGTAACTGCCAGGAACTCCGTGTGGTTGACATGGGCTTTTCAAGAGAGGTGCAAAACTGTTACTTTAATTTTTAGTTCAGGGAGGTGTTGGGCATCACTTTTCTAAAGCAAGTATGATTTTAGTATTCCAATGAGATTTACATCTGACATGGCACATGGATAAGGGACAATGATTTAAACAATCAAAAGCAAAACTATATCCATTAAGTTCCAGGTATGAATATTGAAGAACTAGATTGTGATGTCAACCCTTGAGTACAGGGCTGACCCCAAAGGGTCAGTTAAGTATCTCCTTTTGAGACCAGCTGACTGTATTGTTGCCATCCTCCACCATGAAGCAGTATGATACAGCGCTTTCTGTTGACAGTCTATGACAACCCAGTTCATGGCTCACTGTGAGTATGGCCTTCCCCCCAGCTCCCAGTGTCCTGCCGAAGCCAACCTGGCCTGCAAGGACAGCTTACCGTCTTCCACAATGACTTCTTCCTCCTGTCCATCCTGGCTTCCCTCTTGGACATGGTCATCTCCTTGTTCAGCTATGCCATTGACAACAGACAGCTGCCCATTCTTCTGCAGGAACTGTGAGGAAGACAAAGCCACGTATACATGAGTTCAATCCATTCGTCTAAGTTAAAAGTGATGCTTCGATTCCTGGAGTATAGACTATGAAATGGAGGAACACAGAGAAAAGGAGGCTCCAGGATGAAGCTATAGTTCTATATCCATCTTCAGAAACCATAGAGAATACACGATGTTGCTGTGGGACAATGGTCTTGTACCCTGTCCCTTGTATTGTTGTAATAAAACGCTGATTGGCCAGTAGCCAGGCAGGAAGTATAGGCGAGGCAATGAGAACAGGAGAATTCTGGGAAGAGGAAAGTTTCAGTCTGCAGTCATCATCCAGACACAGAGGATGCAAGATGAGAATGCCTCACTGATAAAAGGTACCAAGCCACATGGCTAACACAGACAAGAATTATGGGCTAATTTAGGATGAGTTAATAAGAAGCCTGAGCTAATAGGCCAACCAGTTTATAATTAATGTAGACCTCTGTGTGTTTCTTTGGGAATGAACAGCTGCAGAACTGGGCGGGACAGAAACCTCCATCAACAGGATGTCCTAAAGATTGACCCTTGTATGTGAGTGTATGCGGAAGTCTGTTTAGTCTATTGTCCAATCACTAGTCAAGATCCTGCTTCAGACACTACACTGAAGAACTCCGGTGAGTCTTACACTTTGCATTCTCACACTAGCATGGAAACCAGACTTCCTTAGTACCTTTCTTTTCACTCTTCCTTGTAGTGGTGGGGATCCAGGGCCCTGGTATGTTAGGGAAGAAATCTATCACCTCTGGCCCTAAAAATATTTTTTTCCTATCAAGTAGCATCTCAGGGACTCTGGTTTTAAAGCCCACACCCACGCTCTTGGACGTATCCTACTCTTCCCCTGAGCATCCCTCCTTTCCACTAAAGCCTATTCCTAAATCTGCTAAAATGCCTTGTAATGAAGCCCAGCTCTCGAGCTGGAACGATGATGGTTCTGTGGATAACGCACTTCCTGCCACGCCTGTTCACCCAAGTTTGATCTCTGGTAGGAGGAGAAAACCAACCCCCACAAGTTGTCCTTGGTCCTTCACACACCACAGCATTCATGCACATGTTTTATATTCTCCAGCACACACTAATACATGTTAAAGTTTTAAAGAAGGGGTGGCCCTGGGGAGATGGCTTAGGGTAAAGAATACTGACTGCTCTTACAGAGGACCCATGTTTGCTTCCAACATGGGGGCTTCCAACCATCTAGAATGCCAGTTCCAGGGACTCTGATGCCCTCTTCAGGTCTCCAAGGGGACAAGGCACACGTGGGACACACAAATACATGCAGACAAAACACTCACACACATAAAATAAATAGATCTATTTTGAAAATTGTAGGATTCAATTCTGCCTTTTAAAAACATTTTAACCTAAACAAATAAAACCATGTTTCTCTGTGACTAGATGCAGGTTAAGAAAAAGTAACTGAGGTTTATGAACAGTAAGGTCAGGTTGGAGCTGATGTTTAAATTTTAGTTGCTGGTATGTGTATGGGTGTTTTGCCTGCGTGTATGTCTGTGCAACATACACATGCAGTACCCAAGAAGGACAGAAGAGGACATTAGATCCCCTGGAACTGGAGTTAAAGACACTTGTGAACCACCGTGTGAGTGCTGGGAATCAAACTTGGTTCCTCTTGAAGGGCAGCCAGAGCTCTTGACCACTAAGTTGTCTCTCCGTTCTGCAAAGTTGGTGATTAACCACACAATCACTAAGCGGCAGCCACACAAAGCTGAGCAAGTAACAGCAGCAGGAGGCTCCCAGACCAGGCTGGGAGTATCTAGGGTTTTAGCCAGAAGTGGGGGTGGGATGTAAAAAGCTGAGAACTAGGTTCTCCTGGCAAGGGCTGTGTGAGAACTGGGGACACACTAAAGGGTGGGGAGGAGTGAGAGAAAAGGCTTCGAGGGCTCACAGCTGTTGTTCCCGCAGCCTAGAAAGCAACTGTTCTTTTTCTTATAAAATATCGCTCTGGGGCTGGAGAGATGTCTCGGTGCTTAGGAGCACTGGCTGCTGGAATGGGAGCCTGGTTCAATTTCTAGCACCAACATGGCAGCTCACAACTGTCTGTAACTACAGATCCAGGGGCTCCAGCACCCACACACAGACATACATGCAGGCAAAACACCAAAGCATGTAAAGTAAATAAATAAGTATTTTTTAGGGGTGTTGCTAAATGTGGGCCAGGGGGATAGCTCCTTCTATATTCTATAAAGGACTTGCCATGCAAGCATGATGACCCAAATTTCATCCTATAACTTATAAAAGATAGATAGATAAATAGATAGATAGACAGACAGACAGACAGACAGAAGCCATCAGCTGGAACACCCATCAGTGGTAACACCTTTGCCTTCTGATCGAAGACCTGAGTTTGTTTGGACCCCCAAACCCTATACCAAAAGCCAGGTGTGATAACATATTCTGTAATCCCAGAGATGGCAAGATGAGAACGGAGACAGACAGATCCTTGGAGCTCACAGGCCAGCAAACCTGGACTACTGGTAGAGTTCCAGAACAATGAGGGACCCCATCTCAAACAAAAAGTGAAAGGCATCTGTGAGCTGGAGGCTGTCCACTTCCCTCCATGTCTGTGCTGTGCACGTGCACATACCTAAAAGAAAGGGGGAAGGACCAATGACAAAGCTCAGGCCTCCCCTTGCTGTCACTGTTCACAGGCCAATGGAAGGCTCTGGACAAACCGGTTCTGATCATTCTCGAAGGTTCTGTGGCCTCAATATCCAAAAGACTGGAGGTGTGCTGAACTGATCTCACTATGTATTCCCTATTGCCAGTGAAGCCCTTCACCCTCTTGCGCCTCTCCTGAAATAACATCGCGTAATGACATTGAAGACGGCACCGTCGGCTTCAAAATGCCCATGCTGAGCCCAGTTATTACACGCGGTACTCAGATTACAGTTCCACTTCAAGGCTTCGATTACCAAAATATGAAAGATAGGAATTTTAAATGAAGGCGGAAGAGAAAGGGGGGGTGCTGTCTCCACAACGCCCATCAGCAAAAATGCCAGCACATTTTAACTGGGTAGCACTAGAACTAGGCACAGGATGGGTTGGATTGAATTAGCAAGCGGGTGAGGGGTGGGGGCAGAATCACATGCTTAGCTGGGTTACATGGCAGCTCAGTGAATCTTAGGTTCTATCTTGATATGTTTGGCGTGGTGGCACAAACCTGCAATCTCAGGTACTTGGGAGGGGGAAATGAGGCAAGAGGGTTAGAGGTTCAAAACTGCCCTGGGTGACACGAGACACTGCAAAAATCAAGAGATGACATTGGAAATTAAACAGAGATCACCTTTAATGAGCCCACTTTTATGGCTATAAACATTAGCTTAATTGGAAACTGTAAACAAGGCTAATTGTTCTTTCCTCTTCCTCCTCCTTCTTTAATTATTTGGTTTTTGAAAGCAGGTCTCACTAGGCAGACCAGGCTGGTCTCAAACAAAAGAGATCGATCTGCCTCTGTCTCCCAAGTGCCGTGATTAAAGGCGTAGCGCACCATGCTTGGCTCGTCACACTTCTGAAGCTGAAGTTACAGGTAGCTGTGAGCAGCCCCTCCATGGGTGCTGGCCGCCACACTTGGGTCTTTTGAAAAAGCAGTACATCCTCACAACCACTGAATCAACCAAACCTCTCCAAATCCAGCACTTGCTTCAATCGCCAAACTGGAGAGTCCACACTGGTTCCGCACACTGGAGAAGCATTTCTTCACTAACCCTTTCTGTCAATCATCTTTAATCCGTATCTGACTCACAGGACCCCAGAAGACAAGATTTACACTCAGCTCATGCCAGGACAGGAAGGGGTGGGCCCAGATGAGGTTCAGCAGTATCCAGAGTTCAGGGGGAAAGGTAATTTTGTAGCACAAGGTTTTCAATCAAGAAAGAAGAAAATCTGTACCCCATTTTTCTCTCTGAAGCTTCCTTCCTCGGCTTTATCCACACATCTTGGATTTAGTACTAGAGATACATTTATTTCTTTTAAGACAAAAATTGGAAGAGAAAGACGCAGCCCTTACCCCAAAAGCACAACGAGTACCAGAAACCCAATCTGCCTACTGGGATTGCGCTTCAAAAAGCAAAGAAGCCTCCTCTGACCAAATCAAAACCCTAAGTGTTTGCAAGCTCATATCCTCCGGGGGGTCAGCCAGAGTTTATCCCAGTAAAGTGTTACCACATTACAAGAGAGCAACACTGAAGGAATCGAGACTCTCAAATGCTTCCAGCAACAGCCTCGCCTTCCTCTAGGAACATCCGAGAACATCCAAGACAGTTTGGAAGATGTCTGAGAGTGACTACCAGGCATCTCCCTCTCCTTCCTTCACCACAGAACTGTCTGGAGTTTGCCCTGAGTTCTGTGTGGAGGATCAAGTCCTTTAATGAAAGGCTTAAACAATGAACAAAATCCACGAGGTCCTGCCAGCTGTCAGGATAATGGGGGTAGAGGCAAGACTGCTGCCGGAACTACAGCTCCTACCTAACATTCTCCCTGCACGGCTCACACAGGTGGGAACGGCCCAGCACCTGCCACATGGAGGGGAGGCAGCTCCACCCTGTGACTCACCCAGCCTACGATGGCCGAAATCATGTGCACAGATGGCCAGAATATTTTTTAAAAGTATGATCTATGTGTGGTGTAGGGTTAGAAGCCTTGGGCATAGTAGACAATTGTTCACTGAACGAAAAATCAAAATGGAAATGAAAAGGAAGGCCATGACTGGTCCTAGGTATTGTGAAGAGAGTTGGTTGTGGCTAAGAGGGAAAGCGTGGCTAGAGGCAGAGACACCTGGGAGAGTTCAGAGTGGCTATGCCCCTGAGCCACGTGAGGAGATGGAGGAGGGGAAGGAGACGGGAGAGAGGGGAACCAGGTGCAGCAGTCAAGAGGGCAAAAAAATAAAATAAAATAAAAATAAGTAAAAAGATGGGTTACCAAATGGGCTGGATTATATCGGGAAGGGCATTTAGGGG